TGTCAACATTAAACTTGTATTTTATCACTGATTTCTCTGCTGTTTTTGTGTGATTGTTTCATGTCAGGATTTTTTTGCATTTTGCTGTTTAAGCTATAAGCTTCTTAAAGGGGGAGAGAGGAAAAAAACCCCCTTGACATAATACCATGAAATCAAAGAGCAAGCTGACTGGAAAAAACAGTTACTATATTTAAACTGCATTATCCTATGACAGAACTGCAGATTTAAAACCTTTCCACTTTGATACAGCACTTTTGCAGCATTTTAATGTGCCTGAGTAGATTTCAACTGGCTGAAACATTTTAATAACTGTAATTTCAGAGGAATAAAATAGCACCGTGGGAGGAAGAAACAATGCCCCCATTTGTCACTCATGAAGACTTTGGATTTGGAATCAGCTGGGGAGACGAGAGCAATGAGTTTGGTGGTCTCAGCCTAAGCCCCATCAGGCAATCAGCCAGGCTGCAAAAATCATGACATAATTTGGCACAATTAAGCAGAATATGATCACTTTGTCTACGTGCACTGAAAGAGATCCAGGCCTGAAATAATAAGGCTATTGCAGGTCAGCATTCAAGTGCATTGGCTCAACAACTGGCATTTTGTGTGGTGCCCTTCTGTGCTGTGTTCAGCTCCACTCAAAACTATTAATCTTGTTTGAAAATGGAGCTACAAAACGTATGTTTTTGTGTATGGCAAGAGACAATTCACATTATGACCAGTAACTCTGCTGTGAATCTGCTTTGCAGCAATAGGGATGACTTAATGTTATTGCAGTTTGAAGGAAAGCATCCTGCAGTCCTCTCTCAGGCCAAATTCCCATTTACTTCAATTAGTAAGCATTACAGGAACTGTTTTAATGCTGCTGCCTGATGTGTTGGCTGCTTCTTCTTAATATATTACAGGGAAAAAAGATAGTAGGCCAAATGTCTGAATATATCCTTCCATTATGGGAATGGAATTTCAGCAAGGCCAAAGCTGCCCCATTTTGTTGTGTTGCTTTCTGAGGTACCGCTCCGAGGGGTTCCAGTCTAAAAACCAAACTGCAGCTTCACAGGGGCAAAATAAATGGATTTCCCTTCCTTAAGAAGGGAGAATGCAAAGCTCTCTGCACCTGCTGGGAGTATGAATCACCTGGAGCTTTCATGAGCTCGGTGCTTCAGGCAGAGCTGAGATTCTGTCACTCTGATTTGGGTCAAGATAACCATCCTCTTTAAGAGACAAGGCAAATGTCATCAGAAGCTTCATGAATCCTTGCAGGGCGATGGAAAACAAGACTGATTTCAACTCACAATTCTAAATTTGTATGATATCAAGCGATGCCAAATTTAGCAGGTACTGCTTCTGCGGCACTGTCTACATGGGTATTTGTAGCGCATTCTGCACCGTTCTGTCTAGACCAAGCACTGTATCTGCAAATGTTCTTCAAGAGTGTGGCTGCCAGAAGATTTGGAAGGTGCCACCTGCAAAGAAATCCTGCACTGGTCAGCAGGATTGGTCTTGCACATCTGGGGAAAGACGGGGAAATGACTGTGAAGGAAACGCAGAGGTTACTCTGCTCTGGGGGAGAAAGAACTGCAGAACGGTCCCTAATTCAGTCATTCTTCTCTCAAAATTCCCTGAACCATAACACAACATGTGACAGAGATAAACACAGGCAGAGGACTGCCTAGAATCTTTCCAGATTTTATGGTGGGTCTATGCTCAAGATGGAAAAAAAGGGGAAGAATGAAGTCATCTAATATTAATGCACGAGAGAGAGACAATGGGAGTGGAGTTTACAAACTGTGGCTGAACTAGTGGATCCCAGAGAATCCCAAGAGTTCTCTCCAGGATTCACTAGAATGCAAGCTCTCTTCGCCTTCCTAGCAGCATTTTCCTCCTGCTAACAAGTTAGACTGAAAGAACACCATATCTACTTTATCCTACAGTCTGCCAAGCCCTGATTGCACATGCCATGGCTCTGGTATGCTTAAAATATTTTTCCATGAGCCTTTTTGGAGACAGGCACAAAAAGGAACCCAAGAATGACATAAGAAGTATATCACAGGGAGAAATAATATGAAATACGATCTGGGATTCTTTTTAATATCATTTTGTTTTGCAAATTGCTACTGATGTTTAATTGTAATGCTTAAAAATAGTAAGAAAATGAAAGGTGGGAGTTTCAAGTCCTTTGCAGGTGCTCTTGTATATGAAGGCTTTTAAAGATGCTTGTGTGTAAAAATACTGCTGTGGTAAATGTATTTTTAAAAAGAACTTACACATAATGCAGGTGATATTAACTCGGTAGAAGGGAAGAAACTACTCAGTGTGCTGTTAATCAGTGAAATACGTGAATTCAAGTCGCTGGTGTTATCCTGTATATGATCACTGTGGAAATTACGTGGGTTTTAATGTTGCATATGTATGTACTTATGTGTTAGAGGATACTAAAAACTCAGGTGTGGGTTAGGTAGGCCTGTGGCAGGCGTTTACCAGCAGTTTTGTTGGGACTGAGTGCATATTTTCCAAGATACATTGTTTTGATTTCAGATGCATGTGCACCTTGTGACTCTGGTTTTGGTTTGGGGATGATGGGATCATAGTTTATCAAGAAAACTATTACAACTGGTTAAGAAACATACAGTAAACTGTATGAACTATGTGCAAGTGCCACGATGACATTCCTTTCCTCTGTAACAGGCTATGTCTATTTAGGTGCAGTGTGAGGTTGTGGTATGAAAAGGAACATAACTGTACCGAGGCAACATTTGGCCATGCTGATTAATCCTGCTGATAAGCAAGATGAAATTAATATGGGCATGGCATGGAATAAGTAGTTGCCTTACCTGAACTAGGTCATCAGATCTAACCCATGAATTTCATTCAGAGCTGCCCTGTGAAGTGTAGGCTGTTGAGTCCTCCTTCCCTGGACCTTGGCCAGCCACAGAGGAGTCTTTTAGAGCAGTTGTACTTTTGTTAGAAAGGATGTAGGGCCACATAGACCTTAGAACATCATAATTTTACATGGGGTGTCCCCTCTCCATCCTTCTTTTGCTATCACGGAGATAAGACTGAGGTATTTCGTTCCAGATCAGACATACAGTTTCTTATAGCGTGGTGCTGTGGGTGGTTTATAAGTGATGGAAATGCAGATTGTATGTAGGATCTGCATTTATGTAAGCCAGCACACATGTAGGGATGAGCTTTTCTATTTGCACACGCATATATATACAAGAACATCTCCTGGCACCAAGTTTTAAAGGGATGGTATTTACACCGTGCGCTGAATTACTTGCTGTGTTGTGTGTGTGTTTTGCAGGTGTATTAATGTCAGTTGGCACTGATTTCTCTCTGTTTTGTGTTCACTGAAGTGCCTGTGAGTTGCTGGGTGGGATGGCGGGACCAGGCAGTTTTCTGTGTTCTGTATCAGCGCCGAGGGAAGCTGGGATCTCACCCCACACACGGCGCTGAAATCACACCCCGCAGCTCATTCCTGCTCACGTTATCGCCGCGCGAGCCGGGGCTGAGTGCGCTGTCACTGGGATGTGTGCGACGGGAACGGGGGGAGCTGTGGAAAGGACACTGCTCGGTGCCAGCGCAGGGCAGGACCTCTGGGCTAGGGGACACGCAGGGACACGGCCCTCACCGCTGCGCACTCTCGTGAGGGGTGAGGCTCCTGTCGCGACAGCGGTTGGTGCAGCCCCACAGAATCACAGAGTCGCTGGGGTTGGAAGGGACCTCTGGAGTTCATCCAGTCCAACCCCCCGCCAAGGCAGGGTCACCTGGAGCAGGTGGCACAGGAACGAGTCCAGGTGGGTTTAGGATGTTTCCGGAGAGCTGCCCTCCCTGGGCAGCCTGTACTCACACACAATCTGACTGCATGATGCTCGTGTCACGGCTGAGTTAGGGGTAGTCACCACACTATCACCACTCTTGACTGGATGATGCTCCTGTCGCGACAGACTTCGCCAGCCCCCCACACCTCCTTGGCCTGGATTGGTGCTCCTGTCACGACCGAGGTGGGGGCAGGCCCACACTCACCCTTTGAATGGACGATGTCCCTGTTACGACTGAGCTGGGGGCAACCCCACGCTCACCCTTTGCCCGGATGAAGCTCGTGTCACCACAGCGCTGAGGGCAGCCCTCACAGGACGGCTGGCGCTCCCGTCACGACACGCGCCGCTGCAGCCGCGCGCCAGCCCCGCCGCGACGCCTATCGCGACAGCGCGGCGGCATCTCCCCCTCAAGGGGCAGCCCCGCTCCCCTTCGGGCGCGGGCTGAGGCCGGCACAAGAGGGCGGTTCAGGCGGGGGCAGCGGGGCCGTCCCGGTGCTGCGGAAGCGCCGGCGCCGCCGCCGCGTGAGGCGCCGAGCGCCGTGAGGGAGAGCGGCTCGCGGTGCGCAGCGCCCGCGCCACGGCCATCGCCTCAGCGCCGCGGGGGCGGGGCCGAGCGCTGGCCCCGCCCCGCGCCGCGGCCCCGCCAATGAGCGGCGTCCACATGCCGCGGCGGCGAGCGCGGCCCGGGCGGCCCCCGAGTTACATTAGAGCGGCCGCCGCCGCTGCGCGCCCGGAGCGAGCGGAGCCATCGGCGGGCGCGGGGGAGCCCGAACCGTGACGGCGACCAGCGGCCTGGGCCGGCTAGGGGGAGCATCGGGCCGCTAAAAAGGGAGGGCGTGATTCCGAGCCTTCGTGGGCAGCGGGGCGGCTGCGCCTTGTTCTTCCCCACACCGCCCCCCCCGCGCCGCGCCGTTATCGCCCTCCCGTTGCCGGGGGTGGCTCGGGGCCGCTGAAGGCGAGCGGAGAGGCCGCTCGGCCACCTGGACGCGGCCCGTCCCCGCAGGGACCCGCCGCGCCCCTGAGACGACAGCGGCTCCCGGGGGCCCGCGGCTCCCCCCCGGCCGAAGCACCTGGTCCCCGCCGGAGAGGCGGCTCGGCTCCCTCGGAGGCGTGTGGGGTGGGAGGGGGTGGGGGCTTTTTTTTTTTTTTTTCCGGCGGCATTCCCTTTTTTCTCTGATTTTTTTTTTTTTTTCATTTTTTTTTCCTGCCCCTCCCGGCCTCCGCCGTGAGGAGTGAGGTGGGCTCGGGCTGCTCTGTCGCGGGAGAGGGTCTATGGTGGTAGCACGGGGGTGGTGAGGGCTGAGCAGGGGTCTCGCCGCCGCGCCCGCCGCCGCTGAGGAGGAGGAGGAGGAGAGGGAGGAGGAAGAGGCGAGGCACGGCACCATTTGCTGCTCCCTGCCCCGGCCATGGAGAACGCGCACACAAAGACTGTGGAGGAAGTTTTGGCTTATTTCGGCGTCAACGAGAGCACCGGGCTCAGCCTCGAGCAAGTCAAGAAGCTGAAGGAGAAATGGGGCTCCAACGGTAGGTGAGGCGGCCCCGCCGCGGGGATGCTGCCGCCGGCCTCGCCCTCTCCCCGCTCGGCTCCCTCTCCCACCCCTCTCTCCTCTCCCCCATCCTTGCCGGGGCCCTGTGCGAGGCCTAACGCGTGTGCACTGGCAAAGCCGGCATCTCTTCCAGGACCCGGAATAGGAGCGAGGGAGAGAAGATGGCTGACTTGAACTCCACCTCGTGGGTTTCTTTCAATCCCGAGCTCGCGGGGCTGCTCTGGGATGGAGGATGTCACCTCCGATCCCTTTCACCTTAACGGTGGGAAACCTCCTTGCATTCTGAATTGACGCCCCTTGGGGTTTAGTATTTTTATATTTTTTTTTGTCCGTCTTGACCTTCATTTTTCCTCGCTTTTCAGCGCCTTTTTGTCCCTTATTTTATATTCTTCTCTCCAGTCGGGACATAGAATTCAACCGATAAGATGTTCCCTTTTTTTTTTAATCCTTACTGCTTGGCCGTCCTAGTCCCTTCTGTACTCCCGTGCCGTTGTGTGAAATTGAAAATCTGTGAGAAGATTATACGGTGGAGGTGGTTTTTTTTAGCTTTAACACTGCTTTTATGCCTCTTGGATTACTAAATCTAGTTACAGGGAAATAAAGGGGAGAACAGAAATAAGGAAATACCCTTAAAATGGAGGAAAGAACTTGAAACATTTTGAACCAAGTTTGACGGTTTGGGTTGGTTTTTTTTAAGTGAATGTGGAGGAAAAGCTTTGTCAGAACGCGTTTGAAAAGCAGTTTGAGCCTTTGACCCTTTGTGTGCAGCAACAGCACAAGCCCCACAGCTGGCTGGAGTGATGACTTGGCTGAATTATAACCCTTGGCACACTCCGGCCAACCTTTGTGTCTTAAAACGCGAAACTCTCGGGCCCATTCACGTACTGTGGTGAAAAGAGCCACCTTATTGTGGCTTTCAGTGTGTCTGTCAAATCCAGCCCAGCTGAGTGTGTAATTCAGGAACAATACGTGGTGGATGCCTTCTAACGCTCTAACGTGTTTCTTCAATGATTTCTTTTCTCTGACATGCTTCCTGGAAAAACCTTCCACCGACAGAGTTACCAGCTGAGGAAGGTGAGCATGTTTGTGAAGTCTTCTCCTAATTCTTGTTGATAATTCATCTTTTTTTTTGTTGTTGTTTTTTTTTTTAACGTGCATGACTAAATGGCTTTGTTACGTATTGCAGGAAAAACCTTACTCGAGCTTGTGATCGAGCAATTTGAAGACTTACTAGTTAGAATTTTGTTGCTGGCTGCTTGCATATCTTTTGTAAGTATGACTTATTCTTTTTGATTTCATAGGCTTCTGTATCTCAGAATGACATGTTCCGGTGTATACAGAGAGAATTATTCTTTCTCAAGAGGTAGAATTATGAGATGCAAAGTAAATTGCTGCCTCTTAAATTTGTTCCTTGCGATGGGGTTTCTGTAGGAAACAAAATTTCAGGAGACTCTTTTCGTTGCATGAGTCATAAGCGCGTAACTGCATTAGACAGGTATGTTAAAAAGTGCTTCTCATTCAACCCAGTTTGCTTATTTGAGGTGGGATTTCCCAACGCTTTTGTTGGCTTTGAAAACTAACCTTGAGTAAGTAAGTGTTTAACTGGACATTCTTCTTGCCTGTGGGTTAATTGTTATCAGGCTCAACGTATAATCATTGGAAGACATTTTTGGATGCAATGCAGACTGTAAATAGAACCTCCATGGCGATTATTCCAGTTGCCTTCCCTTCCTGATAATAGCAAGGTGACAGTTGTTGCTATTGACAGTGACAGGAATGATGACGGCTGTGATGGCACCATAGTTGACCAAATTTGGTAACTGACCTTTGGATAGTCAAGTCATTAAATGGACATCTTCCTTTGCTTGCAGGATTAAAAGAACAAGAATATTTTAAACTTTTTTTTTTTAAAAAAAGGTCTTTCTGCATTATGTGTAATGGATATGTGCTCGCTGGAAAACTGAGCCAAGGCTAAGTATAGGAAGAAGATGAAGTCTGTATGTCTTGGGGGAGCTGGACAACAGAAACAGAAGTGTGCAGAATATTAAATTGTTTAGGTAGGAGTACAAGTTTACAGTAGACTTTGCCCTGGAGTTGTAATTAACTACTTAAAAAAAAAAAAATGCTGCAGCAGCTCTTGGGGGGAGTGGAAATTGTGGTGACTCTTTAGCTGAGGGCAAACCAATTAGGATGGGCAGAGGAGAATGTGCTCTGAGGCGATTGTGTTTGATGGGGGAAAGTGCCCTGGTGTGGTGCTGCAGTTTGTGCTGTGCTGGTGATCCACTCTCCCCACAGAGCCTCTTCTCAAAGGGCTCTGGTTTTGGTCTGCAAGACACCATTACCAGCTGAGCAATGACTGGTGACACCAATCTTGACCATGGAGACAGATGTGCTTTACTCACTGTTCTGATTCCTGCAGAGCAAATCAAGCTGATTGTAGAAAATTGAATTAAACGTCATTCAAAAGCTTTTTTTCTCCCTCCTCTTTGCTCTTTTCCCCTCCCAGAGGTTGAGAAGGGGATGTATTTTTGTTCATGAAAAGTCAGGAGTGTTGCTGTCATCTCATGAGGCAAATGACAGCGCAGAAGTTTGTTAGCCTTTGGTGCCAAGGTGCATTATTTGTTTTTATTTTAAGCAAGTAAGTGAAATAAATATCAAATTCACCAAACTCATTGCTGAATCTGAGTAAGTAAGAGACCAGGCTGGCAGAGGTCATAGAACATACACTGCTGAATCCTCTTGGAAAACTTGATTAGTGGCTGAATTCAGTTGCTTTTTTCAGGATGGTTAATTTTCCTATCTAATTAAGAGGAGACTGGAGTTTGATGGAGTGTGGGATAGATCTGGGTTCTCTGCTTCTGTGCAGCTGACATGGTATATGACCTTGGGCTACTGCTCTGCCTTTTCTGTCTCCTATTTTAGTTATGGATTCACACTAAATTGATGTCACTAGTAAAGATTTTCTCTGTTTGATGAAATGTAGGAAAATCCCTAGATATATTATAATTTTGATAGTTCCAAAGCACTTTGCCTTTGTGCTTGTTTCTGGCTTTTTCCTTGTTCAGAAGGTGATTATCTATCTGGTTTTCTTAGGTTTTAACACTTTTCTTGATGAAAGCTTTTTCTTTTTTTAATGAGACTTCTGCAGTAGCGGTAAAGAACTGTTGAGTATGTTGATATCAAGATTGTATTACTGCAAAAATTAGAAGTAATTACATCACTTAGATTCTGGTGTCCTTTATCAGCTGTATATTGTCAAATTAAGAAAATGATGGAGATGCAGGTATGAGAGGATCTTGAAGTCACTGTTTCGTGTTGTGGGAGTTTTTATGGTGATGGTGTTGCAGTCATAAATCATATTAGTTTATTGCTATTAGAACCGGCTGCACAGAAACAGCCATCTGTAACAGAGATCTGCATTAGGTTTTTGTGCAGAACCATCCCCTCTTCTCTACAGTATAAACTCCTGTGTTCAGAGCTTGTGTGCCCTCTGCTCCCACCCTGCCTGTCAGGGACGTGTCAGTGAAACGACTCAGACCGGCAGCTGGGTCTGTGTCACCCCGGCTGATGGCTGGGGGCAGATGCTGCTGGTGCCACGTCCCACATTCCAGGTCAGAGCTGCTGCTACAGATGTGCTGGTTAGTGCAGCCCTTAAGTCTGGCCTTTGAAGAGAAACAATATAAATCATTTCTGATGGTGAGTAAATGCATCTGTGGATAGGCTTGTCCTGGTCTTCTGTTGAATCTGCGAAGCCTCCGCAGAAATGAACCCGTAGAGTGTCTCAGCAGTTCGTGGCTTTTCATTCTTGATACGTGTGTAGCATGTACTCAGATCTTCAGTATTTACTTAAAAGAACAACTTTCTTTGCTGTATAAACGATTTTGACAGGTTGCAAGGTGTTAGCTGGACGTGGTGTGGGATAGTTCCGTGGTGTGGGTGCTTTAGGCAGCGGTGTGTGCTGAGCTGTGCAATCTCAGCTTTGCATCGCACTGTGATTTCCTTCTACAAGATATGACCCAGGCTATAAACTCTACCAAAACTTGAAGTATTTTACAGCATCCTAAGAGCATTCCCTCCCCTCAGTTATTCCTGTGATTCCTAAGCTGACTTAGAAGTGAATGTTCTGGGAATAGTGGGTATCTGTGTTCAGAGTAAAACAATATATTGTTAAAACAGAGATTTTTCTAACCGGTAAATTAGCATGAGTATAACCTGTGTTAAAAGGGGAGCAAAGGTCCTCCTGGAGGAAGTCTGAGACGTGTCAGTAACAATGTTTCAAGCTTTGCCCTGAAATCACCCCAAAAGTTACCTGTTAAGGTCAGCAGCAGTGAGTATGTGGCACAAGATAAGGGTTGCTGTAGGACATTACACTGACATACTTTTAGCTAAACTTAGATTGCTCAGTAGCACAAGGGTAGCGGTGATAAAATTGTGAGAAGTCATTGTGGTTTCATTTTATGTTGTAGAAATTAAACTGTGGGTGCTAGGTATCTTCCCCCCCCTTATTTCTATAATAAACACAAAAATACATTTATTTTCAGAAGTATGGAGTAATAGATCTGATGAGTGCTCACAATCTGCTAACCCAACAAAATTCTTAATTTTGTACTTACGCATGTGGTTAAGATGTCTTGGTTTGTGTTTGTTGGGTTTTTTTTTCCCTCCTCTCTCCTTGTGTAGCAAACAAAAATCTCTGCTGAATTAATGGAACTAAAACTGGGAGATTTTTCTTTAGTAATTCCTGGCACTCAATATAACTGACACGGACCAAGTATCAGGACTCCTAAAATAGTTCACATCGGCTTAATTTTAAGCTGTTTTGTACTGAAAAGATAAATCACTTAAAAGAGGGTTTTCTGAGCAGTAGTTGGTACTCTGTCCAAAACACACTAAAACTTTAATTCGTGGTATCCTGTGAGAAGAAAGCTCTCTTAAAAGCAATCTGGACATCTTACATGGCCTGTTTAATTAATCCAGGGCTTTTTGTTAGGATGAGGTCTTACTCCCCCTGCTTGATGCCGAGTTTCCATTGTCAAAATGAAAACCAAACAGAAATTCCTGTGAGGTTGTTGACAACGACCTGTTTGCTTTTCCTCTGTTGGTGGTGAGCGGGTACAGCCTGCTGGGCAACACAGTCCTGCCTCCAAACTTCCACTCTTTAGTTCTGTTTTTGTTACTTAATGACACCTGAGGTAACTTGTCTCCATGAGGTACCTGCCAGCACAGCGGTGGTTCACTCGTGGAAGTGGAGAAAGCTGTGAGGGCGCTTGTGTTGTTTTCAGCAGTGGTCACCTCATTGCTGGCTGACTTTGGCATTGTCCCTCTGCCCCCTTTTCACAAATAACTCTGAAAACTCAGTGCTGTTTGCCTGTCGTTGTGTATCTTCTGCCTTAGTGTCCTGCAGGTCCACCCCATTAGGCTTTGTTTAAAATAGGCTCTGCAAGCTCTGGCAGCCCTAAAGCAAATATGCTGAATGAAAGTTGTCCTTTAAGCTGCTTATGTTGGCTGTTGATATGGGACTCTTATGTCTTGCTATTATTGCCCTTATGTTTTTAGATTTGAATTTCTCTCGAGCGATTATTTTATTTTTCCTACTCTTTCTTGAATACGTGATGACTTTACTCATTGACAGTAGTGCCTGAACAGTGCATTGGAGATCAATGACCTGGAAATTAAGCTGTTCTACATGAGTCCTTAAAGTGATTAGGGCTGAAATATGGAGGGGGCCTTTCTGAGTAGAAGTTAAAAAAGAGGAAAAAAAAAAAAATCTCTCATTGTAAACCTCTCCAGGGTCTTAAAAGTGTGCTAGTGGAAACTTTTTGACAAGGACTCAATGACTTGGACAAGAATTGTCTAGTCTTTACCAGGCTTCAGAATATGGGTTGTTGTTACTAAAAACGCCGAGCTAAATACTTGTGTTGCTTGTTCTGCTTCCTCTTTGTTTTCACTGTGGGTTGTTTTTTTTTTTATTTTACTCCAGGCTACTATCAAATAATAAACCTGATCTGTTAAGCAGCGTGTGCTGTGTGTCACAAGTATCCTAAATGGAGTGTTAATGTAGCTGTGGTCTGCTGTAACAAAACCAAGAACTCGCAGTGTATTTGGTTATTTTGATGTGTCTGTTTACTAAAACGTTCTAGAACTAGAGTTTGGATTGTTCCACTGTTAGTAATTGTGTGGAAAATTTTGGGGGGGAGAAATTTGTATTGCTGGCTTCCAGGATTAATTAGATACATCATTTCAATCTTGTCGCAGATCGATACTTTTGCCAGAAAAACAACCATCCGATTCTGTACCCTCAGGATCTCCAATTTGAGTTCATCTGCTCCTTTTGAAATAATGGCTTATTGAAAGTAAAGATCCCTTGAAAACTTAATTTTGGCTCTCCTTGACACACTTGGATCTCGCTGTCCTTGCAGCTGCTTTCCTGGCCTCTGGAAGTTGTGGCCTCTCTCAGTGTTACTTCATAACACACGTGGGCTTCAATCAGGAAGGGTTCTGGTTTAGCATCTTGTAAAGCAGATGTTTTATACCAGTTAACCTTGTAGGTGCCTGCTCAGATGAGAACATCCCAAAATAATTGAATTTACTTGCTTTATTGGAAGCAAAACAGGGGCTCTACAGAATTCCAGTAAAGAAAAGGAGGGAAGAAATAGACACCAAGCAGCTTTTCTGGCGGCAGAGTGTGACCTTGTAGACACTGAGAAGTCTGGAAATGTACCATTGACTTCTCCTGGAGCTCAAATGGCAGAAAGTGTTCGAGGGGATTGGATATCCAGGGGTGTGGGAGGAGGGAAGAAGCACCAAGATGTGGAGAGCATGAGAGATCCTGACTAAAGCCCTTCTCCAGAGGAACTACCCAGCCCCTGCAAACGTTGTGTTGCCAGTTGGAATGTCTCAGTCCCCTTAATGGCAGCCTGGATCTTACAAGTTTATCCTTTTGTAATAAAAATGGGTTGTAGGGTTGGATTTTCTTGACAGTCTGTTTTCTGCTGGAGGCTTTCATTGCTGCTGCTCCTTCCTTTGCCCGTCCTGGAGCGTCTCTCAGTTGAGCAATAGCTCAGAGCAGCATGTTGGGGGAATTCTGGTGCTGCTTTAGTAACAGTTTGCTCTCTGCAGCCCTCGGTGATTCACTGTGCTGTTGCCTGACTACCAGCCCTAATTATCTCAACACGTTGTTCCTATTTACTGTCACTTTCCAGGCTTCCTGTTGCTCAACAGGCTGATGAAAAAGCCCTTCCTCTCTGGTCATGTTGGCTTGACTTGTCCTCAGGAGATGCAGAGCTCTGCAGAGGCCTTGACACAGTCAAGTGAATGACAGAAGCCTAAAACTAGAGTGCATTTGTAAAGCAAATTAATGAAAATAGAATTTTATGCCTTTTATGCAAGTCCTCAGGTTGATTCACCTTTAAAAATTGAGTTTTGTCAACTACTCAGCTTAGAATTCAGCTTCAGTGAATTCACTTAGATGCTTCAATGAGACACCACTTGTACTTAAATAAGTAGATGCTTGTTTTTCATATCTACTCAACAAAACCTTGTAAAGCTGTATTAAGTTTTTTGTCTAAGTTGCTGGTAAAGGACAATTAAACTTGACTAAAATTCAGATTCTGGCAAGGTCTGTGTTTTAAGTAGTCTAACTAATCTATCTACATTCTGTTTTATACAGTAAGGGATTTTCTCTTTTTTCATTGTCATAACTGTTGTCACAACTTCTGCTTTCGCTTCTGAAGCAACAGTAGCAATTGTTTCCCAAGTAAATAGTTTAAAAGAATCCTTTAAAAGAAGAGTGGCCTTTAAAATGAACTTTGTACTACTTTAGTAAAGATTCTTTTTCTTTTCCATTGCATATTGCCAACTCATTCAACTAATTACAAAACTACAACTTGGTAGGTTGAAGCTTCTAAGATTGCCCAAGTCCAAGCAGTTGAATCTCTCAGGCTGAAACTCAGCAAAGGGGTAAAGTTTGCAAGGTGTCTGTGTCAATCAGTAATGTAAATCGTTGTGTTCCTCTTACAGGTCCTGGCCTGGTTTGAAGAAGGTGAAGAAACAATCACAGCGTTCGTAGAACCTTTTGTAATCTTACTTATTTTAGTAGCCAATGCCATTGTGGGAGTGTGGCAGGTATGCAGAGATTTTTACAATGTCAAATCACAAATATTTGGGGGGTTTTATGGTTTGGGAGGAGTCTGTGTGCACTGCAGTGTTGGGTGCTCCATACAAAGCAAGTAGGATGTGTTGCTAACTTTAGATTCCTGAGAGTCAGCAAACCATGAAGCTTCTCGACACAAAGTGTTGACTTAAAGGTAAAATGAAAAGCTTCAGAAGTGTTGCCAAAAAGGCAAAGTGCCCATCAGTGTGTTTGGCCACACACTGGTGAACACATGAACCAGACAGGCCAGAATGAAGGCCTGAATTCAGGAAACAGATCAGATCTTGCAGAGCTCGGAACAATTGGATCAACTTGCTTGGATTTTTTTTTTCCTAACTAAGGAGCAAAGAATGCACTTCTAATCTCATTTCTTGTCTGTTTTCTCTTGAGACAACTGCTATGTTGTAGTACATTATTAATGCACTATTAATTCTCCCAGTTCAATTACTGTGGTACCTATTAAGTGTACACCCAAAGGCTGCATGTCTGTCAAAAGGCAGAAGTTTCTTCTGAAAACATCTAAATACCATGACATTTTTCCTACATTATCAGCTGTGAGCTGACTTAGATGGCTTTTTATAAATCATGGAGACAGTAATAACAGTAACACAGTCTAACACTTCCTGAGATGCCAAAGTAAAGTGGTTCACATCATTTTAGCTTAATAATTCGATCACTTCACACAGGGCATGTTTTGTTAGAATTGTTTTTCTGCAGATCAAAAATACTGAAGGTTTTTTAGGGTCATTCAAGTTATTTGTGCAGTTGGTTGGGTTTTGGGGTTTTTGGTGTTTTTTTTTTTTTTTTAAAGGAATGGTACTAATGTGCAATAATCACTGGCTATCTTAGTGCATTAGGTTTCATGCTTTAACAAAAAAAGGCAAACTCACCAAAATGACAACAAAAATCAAGAGGAGAAGTCCTGTTAATGTTTAGAACATGTTAGAGAGGACCCTGCATGCTGGAAGAAGTGGCATTGCTGCCTGCTGTGCTCTGCTTTGTGCTGGCCCAAGTGAGCTGACTGAAGGCTATCCCTCCAAAAAATTAGTTTTTAGCAGTTCCCAACTTGCTGCAGAACTGCTGGAGCTGGTGTGGAGGGAGGAGGTCACGTTGATCCAGAAGTAACAGCATTGCCCCCTTAAGAGTAATTTTATATTCAAGTCTTCATAAAGTAGTTATGCAAGAGTTAATGTTTAACTTGAAACTCTGAGCTGCAACTCTGCAGCTGCCGATTGTAAGCACGAAATGGAAGGCAAAGCTCTCTGTGCAGCTTGGGGATTTTCTTGTGTAGCTGTATAGGAAATAATCAATTTTTTCAGGCAAGGTAGTGTGCCAAGAATACCTCTCTATATATTTCTGCATGCAGCGAACTTCATTGTGAAACAAAGAGTTGCTGCACAGATTAAATGACTCATTCCCTTGTTTTACTGGGCATGGAAAATCAGTCACAGTGCAGAGTCTCCACCCATAAATGTATGTGTTCCTACAGGTACTGGATGTGAGCAACTGAGTCATTGCCCTCAACCTTCCCTCTCACGTGCACTGTCCCCAGAGAGCCATCTGTGAGTGCTTCAGTGCCTGGCAGGATGGTCTGGCTGCCACAACTCCAGGCAAACTGGGGGCAAAGAGATTGAGTGTAGCACGCTGAGCTGGCTGAAGCAGCTGAATCACAGAATCCTTGAGGCTGGAAAAGATCTTTTAGATCATCAAGTGCAGCCGTTAGCCCAAGTGCTGCCAATGTCACCACTAAACCGTGTCCCCAAGGGCCACATCTATGTGTCTTGAATACCTGCAGATATGGTGACTCAGCCCCTTCCCTGAGCAGCCTGTTCTGATGCTTGACAGCCTTTGTGGTGAAGAAATTGTTCCCAGTAGCCAATCTAAACCTCCCCTGGTGCAACTTGAGGATGTTTGTTCTTGTCCTGTCACTTGTTCTAGGGGAGGGATGAAGTCTCCCTGAGCCTCCTTTTCTGCAGGCTCAGCCCCCTCAGCTGCTCCAGAGCCTTGTCCAGTTCCATTCCCTTCTCTGGACACTCTCCAGCCCCTCAATGTCTTTCTTCTTGTGAGGGGCCCAAAACTGACCCCAGGACTGGAGGTGCCTCAGCAGTACCCAGCAGGGTTGTGTTGAAGTCACCTTCCACTTTATTTTGCACTTTTTAGGGTTTTGTCTAATGTTGGCTCCCAGTTCATCCACAGAAAAGCAATATCAGCATTATTGTGTTGAGGAGCAGAATTAATTTACCTGGTGGAATATGAGGCTGGTATTAATTACAGCTTTATGGGTCTGTGCTGGTATCTGCACTGCTTGGCCCTGAGCTGTGCCATGTAAATTCTAGTTCCTCAAGGTAGTTTTGTTAATGCTCATTTTCAGCTGCACTGTTAATGTGGAAGTACCAAGTCCTTCAGCCCTTGAATTTCTGATGCTTCTGTTTCTGCTTTGACATGCAGGAGGGATTTTTTATTATCTGGAAAAACTGATATATATTTGAAGGGCAGACAGTGTAAAAACTGTGTGCACCGTCCCATTATCTGTAATTATCAGGGCTAAGTGATGTTTGGACTTGTCAGTAGGCAGGGAAATGGCAAGTAAGTTCCTTCTCCATGAGCTGGAGAAGGAGCACTAATAAGCTGCTGGTTCCTATGTTGTCCTTTATCCAGGTAACATCACAATATTGATCCCAATCTCAGTAGTGCTCAGTGAGAGAACTGCACCTGAGACAGGAAAGCTGTCGTGTTAGTGGAAATAAAAAAGGTTGTCATATGTGGGGATTCATCCAAGTTTGTAAATTAAGAGATTCTGGGAAGGTTTCTAGTCTGCTTTAATTTCACTTCAGAGTCACTGGATTTGCTGAAACAAAGTTGATTTTATGTTGTTTGAGGTTTGTCTTAACTTGATCCTTGACTTCTGCCAGTAAGTGAAATTCAGTAGTGCTTGTCTACTCCAGTCTGAGTCTAAGCTGCTCCAGCTAGTAAGGAACAACCAAGACTTATACCCATGAATCTTAATTTCTGTTTAGGGTTTTTAATGTCAAAAAGCACATTGCGTATGGATGTAACACAGAATTCTTTGTGTGGCCTCCCTGGGACGACACAGGGGATGTTTTTGATGGAAAATGCTGCAGGGTTTAAATATGCAGTGTCGAGGTTCTAACTGCCCACAAACACCTGAATTAGGCTGTAAAGATTTCCAGTCAGCAACCTCACAAGGGGAGGTGGAGGGGGGGAGGTCACAAAATGTGTGTGAAAGAATGGAGCTGAGCTGAGTTGGTAGTATTCATATGATAATGCTTTTGAAAAATCACATCTGACCTACTTATTTTTCCTTGAGGGCTTTAGAAATGACACTTTTTTTTTTTTTCTTTGCTGTCTTTTAGGAAAGAAATGCTGAAAATGCTATTGAAGCTCTTAAAGAGTATGAACCAGAAATGGGCAAAGTGTACCGACAAGACCGGAAAAGTGTGCAGAGGATTAAAGCCAGAGACATTGTCCCAGGGGATATTGTGGAAGTGGCAGGTAAGACCCATTTGTGTAGTACGTACATGTGTCAGAATATTCATGTAAAATTCTTGCGGGTAGGGGCTTTGTCTTAATGATTTGGGGGGGGAAGTTTTCAGAGCCTCCTAAGTATATACTTCACTTATGAACAGTCTTGTTTCTGTTTGTCTGTAATTACCTTAAATGTGCATTTGCACTGAGGGGATTGTTTTTCAAATTGCCACTTAGTTTAATTGGTAGGTCTAAAAGCAAAGCATCTTAATTGGAGTGGTGGTTTTAACACTTGTCACAACTCTAAAATGTTGTTTTCTAATGCCTGGTTTCAGAGTGTCCTACAGTTTATCTGGTTTTCTATCACAGAATACCTTTTTCCTTGCTTTTAAATGTGTTTCCTTAGGTTTGGGAGCGCTGAGATTTTTGGTTTTTCAGTCATGCTCTGAGTTTTCATTGAATGTGTTTTTCCAACTCTTACCCTTGCAGTAGCAGAGCCTTTGAACTTCTCTTCACAAATGTCTTCTGTCCTCTCAGCTGGTGTGACTGGCACGTGACATCGCTGTTTTCTCATCTTTCTTCATTCTTTAGTGCTTCTTTTGCCTATTGCTGTGTAGGAGATCTCAAACAGATAAACTATTTAGAGTAGAGCTTCCCATTTCTCCTGTATAAACATTTGAAGGGACTGTCTTGAGACTGGACTTTTGCCTTGAACTTTCTGATATCCTAGATTTGCTCTAAAAGGTGTATCTTTATTTGGAAGGGGTGCAAAAATGTGAGTGTTGTACACTGTTAGCTAAAACTCCATCGTTTTGGTGATAATGCCATAGCAAGAATTCATTCTCTAAACTGGGCTTATTGATGACTTCAGTGTTTCCTATTCCTTCCCAGCTAAATGTAGGTGGTTCTTGCTGAGTGTCAGGAGTGATTGCACCCTCATCTTTTGTAGGTCATTATCAGCTGTTAACTGAGTGATTGTTCCTTTGGGAACAATTCGGGGTGTACATCAAACCTCGCTTTTCACAAGTGTCACTTTGATTTTTAGAGGTGGTAGCTGTCTCAAGAGGAGATAAATATATACCCTTAAACTCGCCTCTCCTCCTGTTTTAATTAGCAGGCAGGGAGAGTGTGCACTCAAAATGAAGTTGGTGTTGGCTACCAGCCCAGCTTTCATTCCTTGAGAAACTTCAGCACTCGCTGAGCCCTGTCTCGAGCCTCCGTTTTGTGCACAGGATGATTCAGCTCCCAAGTACAAATCCAGAGTGCTGATAGCGGAAATTAGGGGGGAATTGTGATACCTTGTCACTGGCTGTGCTCTTTGACTCGCTGTTCCTGCTCTGCACAGGCAAAGCTGGGAGCTCTGCAAGGAGCTTTGGTTTCAGGCTGACGTTTGCCGTGTCCTTTGGAGGGGAACAGGGCTGGATAAATGACAGATTCTGCAGGAGATGTCCACTCCAAATCCTTATCCTGGTTTTTTAAATGTCACTGATGGAATGGGAGTTTTGGAAGGAGTCGATGTCATAGGAATACACTTGTGGGTTTTGGTATTTTAGAGGAGTACTGGTAGAATTGCAAGTTGATAACTGCATATTGTGCACTGGTTTTGGGGGATCTCACTGAGGAGAAATGCTGGATTTTGCTACTCTGCCAGGTGTCAAGAGCACAGAACACTTTCTCCTTGATTCTTTGCTATTTCAGAAGAGGTACAGATTGCATTTTCATCTTGCAAATTTAGCTTTGCCTTTGTTCTGAATGTGAACACCTGGGGGATGTGTGGGCTTTTACTTACCTGCTCTGTATTGTCAGGATCCATAAAATCAATTACTGTCTATAAAAGATCTGTGTCTGAAGGAGAGAAGTGATTTGGGAATAACCCCTGACTAGCATGCCTGTAGCACCAGGCTCTTTAACAAGCACAGTATCCTTTTTCTCATAGGGTTACTACTGCAATATTTTAAAATCTACTTGTAGAGCAGTGTCTGATAGTCCAACATCTGTAGAACTCCTTCATTTTATTTTTTTTAAAGAAAGGACAAGTTCATGTAGAGAAACAAACATTATCCAAGCTTTATGACTGTCCTTTAAGGTGAGTGGTCTGGCTTGTTGATGGACTGAAGAATCTTTTATGAGTGGAATCTTTAACTGGTGGATCAAACAATCCCAAGCTACTCATGATATTTTTCTTATGATGGCAAATACACTTAAATTACCTTTAACTTGAAGCTGCAGTTGATTGTAAGTTATGTGGATGTTCAGTAGGGAAATAAGTGCTTCAGTGTGATACTGAAATAATAAATTCTGGTAGCTGGGCATTGATGAAGTTTTAATTGTGATCGAACTCGGAAAAGCTCCTGAGCAAGTAGAGAAGAGCCACACGGAGTGTACCAGTGGTGGTGTCAGGACCTGGAGGTGAGGGAGACTCTGTGCAGGCCTGTGCCTCAAGAGCAGGAGGACTCTGATGGCCTTTGACACGGTGTTTGCAAAAAGATGACCATGTAGGGAAGTGCCAGAGCACTCCATGCTGGGATACATATCTGGCTCTGGAATTCTAGGCAAGGTGCCAATGACATTTGTGTGTCCAGGCAAATATCTTTCAACCAAGTGGTATAAACAGCCAGGTGACAGGTTTCTCCCCTGTGCTGATAACTGATTTTGAGCAAATTTATTCAAGTCTTCCACTCCAAAATAGTTGTATTTAATGCTGTAACAGCTTTGGTAATTTGAAGGAGCTGTGGATGGGTCTGACACACAGATGACTGTTACAGGAATTGTTAGATGGATATTGCAGTTTGGGGGATGTGGGGGAATATATTTCCCTCTTTACATAGCAGGAGTTCCCTGAGAATAAGTAGCATTGAACCATTTCTGAAACTACTTGTTATTTGCAGTAGTTTTGAGCCCATTAAAGATAACCTGGGTGGCTTAGTGTAACCCAAAGACAGTGCAATAATGGTTTATATTATCACTTTTTATTCTGGCTCCTGGGGCTGTTTGTAGGGTTTGACTGTGTTCATTATACAGACTATCCATCTGCCTCATGGTCTTCTGAATTAAAGCTGCTGGAGCAGATGCTGGTTTATTTGACTTGAAGTAATAGGGGGAAACTGCAGGTTTGCATTGTCACCTTGCAGTAAATATGGAGTAACCTGAATTAAACTGTCCCCTAGGTGATAAATAACCTTCTGTCTGAGGTGTCTCTTGGGATCAGTGTGATAGGGCAGAGCAGTGGATGAGCAATTACCCTTCCTTGGGTCTGGTAGCCAACAAATTCCACCTTCTGCAGGTGTAGCAGACACTGTTTGCTCAGGGACTATGCAGACATGAATTTCTTCACTGCCTGGTGGTAGGAGGACTTTCTTCCACATCTACCTAAGCAGAGGTGGTGGAAAAGACCCTGCACAATGAACAGGAACTGTCTGGGATGCAGTTGGGGTGACAGGTTTGGGGAGGGGTGGTGCCTTAAATTTACTCTCAGAGCTGTGGGTGAGGGTTTCTGAGCTACACAGTTTGTTTCTCAGAAGTGATGAACTGAAACCCATCCAGATGCTGTCCCCACATGGCTCTCCAGCTTGCCTGTCTTCAGATGGATTATCATGCTGCTATAAAAGTTGGGCTTAATTGGAGGGTGCACTCTAAACTTGTAACCAGGGCTATCTTAATAGATTAGATATACTTCGGTTTAGTTGAGTTTTTGTTTGCTAGGTTAAAGTAACATTTCAAAGAGAAACTTAAACCAGCCTGGCCTTAGTTCTTAGAAGGTTTTTTTTTTATGAAGTTCAGCCTGACAAACTGGGCTAAACTGGTTGCAAATCACTTCCTTTTTTTAGGGAAGCACATTTGGGAACAGAAGTGAGCTTTGTTCACTTCTGTTGTATTTTCCTGTCTAAAAGTTTCTGGTTTAGATACAGTGTATCTGCATTTCTGTAATTTAATAAATGAAAGTTCATTAGTTGCAGTCAGTGAGCGACCAAAGCAGAGTCACAGTAGTTCCTCTTTTCCCTGAATTGGGAAGAGGAATTGAATGATGGTTCTTGTCATCTGTTACTGTATCTGTAAGTACTCAACAGCTTAAAAATACACACAGAGTTTCCAGAAGCTGTTGCTTATTAAATCAGTGTATATTCCACAAGACTTAGTTTTATACCTGGCATAGAGTAGGCAGGAATTACTTTCTGAAGCTTTTTATTCCAACTGCAGAGCAATTTAAGACTCTTGGTAAAGCACTTGGGTGCTTTATAGTGAAAGACAGATAAATTTTGGGGTGGAGAAGGTCATGAAGGAAGATTCTTGAGGTGAATTGTGTCAAACTCCCAGGATTATGAAGAGCTCCAAGTTCTCCCTGGTAATGCAGGCAACAAACACTGATGTTGCAGATCTTCCTCCAACATATACGGGTCCTTGTGTTACTCTTCTACTAACTGGAATTGATTTTCAGACTCTGTGCTAGAGATGCAGGTTTACTTCTTCTGGGAAACTACTGAGATTGGAAAACATAATGAAAAGGATGGAGTAAGGCTGAATTCCAGAGCAGAGAGCTGCTGGAGCCTGTTCTACAGCAGAGTGCTGAGACCTTCTCTTGATGGGGAAACAAATGGGCTGCAAAAGTTGAGGATGTTTCCCTGTCAGGTCTGGTTTTTGAAGCACATATTTTGCTTTTTTTCACGAAGGACTGCTTTTGAACCAGGAGACATAGGAAAGCACATCAGTGGTTAATAAATACATGTACAAGTAGTGCATAAATCTCTGTGCTTCAGTGAACATTTTGGCCAACACATCAGAGGCAGCTCGGAGATAACCAGGCACAGTCCAAACTCCATTCCAGGCTTGACTGGAGTCTGGAGTTATGTGAGGTTCAACTCAGGGCACAGCCTAAACTTGGGTCACTTTTAACACACATTTGAAATCTTACAAAACACACTTCCCATTTTTTTCCCTAATTCTCGTAGCATTCTCCTCCAGAGCTGCCAAACCTTTCAAGTAAAAACAGGGAAACCAGTTCTGGTTTAGTTGTTTGAATTGAGAAGGTA